TTGTGGTGCGAGATTTTTCTTGGGGGGGGGGGGGAGGGTGAGAGGGATGCTGCGTGGACATGGAGTTATTTTAATTCCTAAATGTTTAGTTTTTTTAGTCGTTTCACACATTTTGGAGATTAAACCAAGTTGGATTTTTATGATCGGACGATCTGTTTGGTCTAGTCATAACATGATTTTAATTGGCTGTGTCAGTGAAATGCAATATTATTAGTAGTATAATGTAGCGTTCGTAGTTTTTAATAAATGGAAGCCCTGCACACTGTCAGTCATGGGAGTTGTTTAATCCCACACCATCCTTCCAGCTTGTCAGTGCATGCTGGTGAAGGATGCAGGAGGGATGTGTCCAAGGTTAGTCCCGGAATGCCTTGCACTCGCCATTAATGTTAGCCCTGGCCTCAAATCTAACTTGGGTTGTGCCAAGTTCTTAGCAGAGTTGTAAATCACTGTACCACCGCTCCTTTTAGTATACAGAAAACAACTTCAGGAAATTGGCCATACGGTGTAACGTGCACAGCCCTCTTCTGAATAAGAGGCTTGAGACTTGAGTGAAGCTTTCCGATGTAAACAAGTATTTTACTTATTAACTTTATTGTAATATAGAGCTAACTAAATTAGCATTTAAAATAAAGAACGGTATTTCATATAAGCCCATCGATGCATCTGCAATGAATCATTGCTACAGTTTTCCATGTTACAGTGCTGGTTTTGTGTTTGTGACTTGCACACCGCTGTCATTGAATGGGAAAAGTAGACCTCTGGACTAGTTTGCGCGATTGGGTCCTGACACAAAGCCAAGTCGTTGCTGTTTAGGATGTTTTGATTCTCTTAACCGGATAATCTCATGAAGTGGAACCTTGCCTCAATCGATAATTTTAGTTCAGTGCTACATGTTGAAATCCAGTGAAGCATAATATAGTTCATTGCAACATGCTCAAATCCAGTGAAGCATATGACTACGTGTAAACACATGGAAGTGTAATGATCATGAACAATAACCCTCTGAATGAAATAAATGAGAATGAAAACAATGATTGCACAAGTAGTCATGAATGGGGTAAGACGTCACAGGGTAGTTAGTCGTTGTGCATTTTTATGACCTAAACTCTGCAGTGATAAAAAAGTTATTTGGTCTTTTAGTGTTGCAGGATGATGTATGCTTGAAGATAAATGTTGCCGTAGCCTTGGCCACATCATTCCGTTGTGCTACTCTATTGCATTTAGATGAGGGTTCTAATGTATCCACATTAAGTGCTTGCTTATTGGCCTTTGCGTTTTAGTGTCAATCGATGTCACAAATAGCCTTTGAAGCTGTCTACCTATTTATTGAGTGCTCCACATTTAATCATTGGCCTATTTGTTGTTCCCTTTGAGCCTTGGAACGCCATTGTATATTTCCATCTGCAAATACAGGGCAGCTGTAATTTTAGCTTGTCTGCAATGAACTGAAATATGTAAATACTGGAAAAGGTGATGGTGCAGCCCTACAATTACTCTTTCATGGCTCTGCTGGTGGAAGGTCCTTCACGAGAGGAAGCTCTGAAGAGCCCTTGTAGATGATCATTGGCCTACTCTTCCATGCTGACCTGACATCTTGGAAGAGGCGGGCGTACCCACACGTTGCGCCACCATACGCAACCTGCCAATCGTCGGATCATGGTGTCCTCACTTATTCTGCTGGATGGACAGGCGGGTGGATTGAAAAAAGTTACCATTCTTTAAATTAGAAAATTCTGATGAAATTTCATGGCTTACATTGTTTCTCCTCCAACCTCGAAATGGTCAAATTCTCCACCACTCGTTCCTTGGATTTTTCTTTTACGAAAACCGTTACAATCAACTGAAAAACAGAACAATTGGAAGATTTTGAAAGATTCCAAATCCTAAGATTAGGACGATCCACACTTTCAGTCACGTTTTTTATACAGTTAAAAAATCCCTGATTTTGTACAACAAACTATCCAAGTAAGTGCTATAACTGATGGACTGACTCACAAACTGTCAAAGAAAGTGTCTTGTAATGTACATAAATCCATGTAAGGGCATATTTGATTGTTTTGTCTTATTCGGGCTATGTACACCAGCACACACATTGCGTAAGCATGATGCAGTTTGTTTTTTTGAATACAGAGAAATTGTGAATAACTTTCACACACACTTGCATCTCCAGCTAGATGACTCATCGATGATTCATCCTATATCCTATTGGGACAACATTTGCATGAAGTCATATATTACACTGCAAGATGAAAGATATGGTTCAGGTTAAGCCTTGTAGTTTTAAATATCGTAGGATAAAATGTGTTACTTTTCGAACTTGTTTGTGCTCGTCATATTTCCACAATCAAAATTAAATTTTTGTGATAGATTAATAATAGATTGTTTCCTGTTTAACATTAATAATTAGTTTGTCAAAGTTTTACCATCCTGAACAAATGTGCAATTGTTAATATAAAATTTCTCACCAGCACTGCTAAGAGTTCTTAATGTGAACATTTTAAAGCTGCGTATCGCTGCATTACTTAAACTCATAAATGTGTTGACGTCATTATTGTTGCTTTTACTAAATATAAATGTATTAAAGAAGACATTACATGAGCTTTCATTATTAATATTGGGCCTCTCACAATTTCACTTGTTTATTTTGTGATTGATTATCACGAAGTGGATGGAGCTCATTTAGCTTCCGTTGCAGAGAGACACGTATGTATGTTGAACTTCTTTCGCTCTGTATCTAGCCAACCGTGCTATCGGAGGTACGGGGGAAGGACCACAAACAAGCAGTTATACAGAAAGGAGTTTCCAATCTATATTTAAACGTGCATAGCTCCAGTGGCTTCCGAATATCATAAGGAAGAGCGTTCCAGACAGCCGCAGAAGCACTTCTGAAAGCGCACGATGCAGTCCACCGTCTTTGTTCGATGGCCAGTCAAAAGCCCCTGCGAGGATGACGAGTTCACGTGATGGTGTATGCTCCTTGACGATATAAGCAAGGTATTGTGTGTGGTTAATTTGTTTTTAGTAAACACTTGTGTCACTATATCAAAAGTGTTACCATTTTTAAGAAGTTTTTCGTGAGTTATACAAGGCCACAAAACCTGTGCACGCTAATGAATGATGCGGATGTATTTGGTTGTAGCTTGCTGTGGGAGTGCACAATTTGTGAGCGCGTATCTATTGTTTCATTACCAAGACCAAAGAGTTGGGTTATTATGTCTTCCAGTGCCGCCATTCCCAGCTTGTTATGTGAATATTGCCCACTCGAACACATGTTGAGTCATTACGACTTTATCTTAGCTTAATCGTACAGGCTTCAAAAGTGTGGAGCCAACTTTGATTATATGAATGTTTTAAATACATTGTTTAGGCTGTAAAGGCAGCGAGACCTTGTGAAAATGATAATGCTGCCTGGCTGATATTCTTACTTTGAAAGTACGTGTTTTGGTAATGTTTATTCATATTACATTTGAAAATGTGACAACATCAATTTCACTTAAAAGTGAAATTTAAGTTGCGTTTAATTCTTAGAAGTCTGAGTTTTCCTCAAACATTAACGGTTTTAATGATGCTCTTTAATCCCTTTAAGTAAAAAGTTCAAAACGGTTTTGGATCATTATAACGATTTTTGTCTAGATTATGGTCCTTTTTGCTATGTTAGGAAATAATGTTACTTTGTAGTAAAGCAATGTAATAACCAATATGATGTTGCAGAACGCTGTAAATAAAGCATGACTTGCTATATTCTCAAACTAACTTGCAAAACTATTGCATTATGAGCAATAACAACAGTCAACGTTATAGACAGAAAATAGGGAAATACAAAACAGCATCTAAAACTGTATTAAGTGTAATATTGGTACGAAGCAAATACTTTACCGATGGGACTCGATGTAAAAAAGTTGTCCTTCTAAAAATGCCGATGGGAAAACATTGCTCAAGAAGGCCCACGGATTGATGCCCCGAGATGTAAATTGTTTTATTGTTGTTCCTCTGTCTGCCACGCTTTTGGCATAAAAACGTTTTGGAGCGCGGCCTTTTACGTCCTTGCCCCTCACATTTGGAACTTTGCCTGAAAAACTGAACATGACCGCAGAGATTCTCTCACTTGTAAAGAAGCTAAAAACTTGCTTATTTCCTATGGTATGTTAGATAAAGTGTTTTTTTTTATTATTGTACGGCGCTCTGAATCCCATTGTGGGGGGTCTGCTGCGCCTTATAAATACGTAAATAATAATTCGCTTAATATGAATTTGTCTGTAGCTACAGTATGTTGCAGCCTTCTGCCTGCCACCTCTCAACTCTGAATAAGATGTGTTTCAAGGATCATTGACTTTCACATTTGACTTTTACCAGCATGTTTTATATATGATGGAAATAGCAATGTATTTTCACGATAAAATCAATCATCAACCATACCACGATTCATTCCCCCCTCCCAGCAATTTGAGCATTATGATCTTTTTCATACGAATATTAGTTTTTGTTTGCGTTGTATCCTCGACTGTCTCGTTGGTGGTGTTATTGTGTTTTGTCTTGTACAGTTTTGTTGACATCATTAGCATATACGTAGCAGCGAATTAATTGCAAAACTGTTCTCACATACTTCGATGCGGTTATTGTGAGTGTAAGAATAGATTTTAATGAGAATACCCTTCGATGACTTGTGTGTGTACTAAAAGGTTCTTAAGGCTCGATACATGCATAAAATCACGTGTTAATGTTGGTTTTTCAATGCTTGTGAATTATGTGCAGGCAATATCCCAGCCTTAAACTTGAGCTAGTGTGCCGAGACGCAAAAAAAACAGGAAATAATATCAATAAGCCCGTTAGGTACAGGACGAAACAAAAACAAAGATTTTTTTTTGTATCAAAACGCTGCCCCGAATCTCAACAATTCATCCATTGTGAGTCGTCGGGGGTGGGTGTGGTGGGGGGAGGGATGAATTGTTACATTTCTAAAAAGTTTGCACATCTTCACTCCACTGCGCCTCGTCTCGCAGTGTTGCTGCGGTTCCGAACGGAGCAGGGCCGTGACCCGGCGCCACAAACCCAGACGGAGGACACGGAGCTGCTGCGCCGGCTCCGTGACGCCGTGATTGAGGAGAGCGGCGCCGGTGGCGACATGATTCCCGACGGATTCGCGAGGTGAGCTGAGAGCGGTGGAGAGCGGCGGAGAGCGGTTGCCCCCCCTCTAGTCGCCGGGGATGGATTCCTCAACAGTGAAAAGCTGGAAATGGCTTCTTCCTGTTTTTTAAGCTTGGGGGGGATATTTTCCCACACGAGTGAGCAGCGTCGCAAAATGTTGACTCCCTTGGGCCGTTGTTTCTGAGTAATCGTACACAGCACAAAAGTTATTTTTGAATTGCGCCCGTTGCTCGTTATTGTCTGCCCCCCCCCCCCTCTTGTGCTGTCACTGTATGCATCGAAGCAAATAGCTTTCCCTTAAGTAAAACACATGTTCGTGTGTGAAAGTAGCTGATAAAAAATATATTTTAGGTGGTCTGTGTAGCGTCTTTGGCCAATTGTGAACGGTGCTGTTTTTAAACAGATTAAAATTGTTCCAGCAAACCTTGTGGTCGCTTAAACAATGTGGCTGCTTGGGTTCACATGCTGTTGTGGCAGGGGTCAAGACGCTTGGAGAGGCACCATAATACCTGGGTGCAGCCATGTGGGTGCTTCAGCAGAGATTTAGCCCAGTTAATGTGTCGCTTGAAAGCTGCTCAAGCGTAGATTCGGCCCGGTGCAGGCACTCGGCATCTGTGGAGGAGCTCAGAATCTCGAGATGACGTGGGATGTTTTTCTGCAGATGTCTCCGTCCAGGAGATAGCAAAATAGCAAATGTGCTGAATTGAGCATGCGTCTTCAAAGGGAACATAAAAAAACGGTATCTGTGTCGTAATGAAAATAATATAAAATTGTAAATGTGTATCCCCCATATGTGATTATTTAATTATGTTTGCGGTTTTGTTTTTATAGTTCCTGTTTCTCGGAGCTGAGTCCAATTTGTGCAGTGGTGGGTGGTGTCCTCGGTCAAGAGATAGTGAAGGTAAAAAAATGTTACATTTTTTTGTTTTTAAAGGTTCTTACTTAAAGAAAAAAACATAGCATGTACCATGTATCAACACACAACATGGCATCAAAACGATCTGAAAAGAGGGTAATTAAAGTGTTCAAGAAATCGCACCTGAACTTTAAATACATTCATGCAAGTAAATATAATTATTTGTGTTTATAACATTATGACTTTATTTATGAACAAATTGGGCTTCGAAAAAGACCAGTGATATATTGTTTCTTATTTTCAGTTAACACTGTTTGGCTTCTTTTTCCTATTACACATGCTGTATGATAATACTAAAGTAACTAAATGGAGGGTCCTTCCAACTGCAATATATAACGGTCTTTTTTTGGAAATTGTGTTGTCCTATAGCAGTGGGTGATGTGTTAATGGTTATGGTTAGGTTGGTGGCTATGGCTATGGCGCCTTCTATCACAGTTCAAACAGGCATGATTTTATCTGTAGCATGTTAGTTACAGCGCACAGCCTTAAGGTAAACAACAGGGAATTATGAAAAATTAGCTTGCTTGGGTTGCAGGCTGTTTGAAAATGTAGTTAACTTTTTTTTTTCACGGGTTATAATCCAAATGGCAAATAATCTGGATTGCAAGTAGTTGAAATTACAATACATATTGTATTTGTTGTCTATAAAAACAAATGGGTACAGTTGTGTGCATATAATAAGGTTAGTGCTATCCATCCATTGTTGTAATTTTATTCACGTTTAGACGAGCAGCTTTTTTATGATGTGTTATTACTTCATGAACTTATTTTTTTACGAAGAGCTTTAACAATACTATTTAAGATTTCAATAACTCTTAAAACATTAAATGTTAAGCTTCACTAACGTGTTAACATGTAGTGTTTTAAAGATACGCAGCAGTGGAACAACAACAAACAGCCAAAGGTGATAACACCTCGTGGCTTGGCTATCAAGTGTTCTGGAATTTGCAATTGCACGGGGTGGCCCACCACAGGCCAAGGGGGGGACCCATAGGCCAAGGGGGACCCATGCGCGTGTCGAATTTGTACAGGGGGGCCGGGGGGGCATTTGATTCCTGCATCAGGAATCAACTCAACAATAAGAGTCCTGGTGGTGGTTGTGATTGTTGTTTTACCATTAGGAAAAAACATTTGCACGTTTATTATGTCAACAGTCACATTTCTGTGAATTTTTGCAATATTGAAAATTTGCGTACACCTTTGAACAGCCCTTTTATGAATTTGCTCCTGGATGTGAGCCTCGTCATGCTGTGGGGGTAGTGGAGGTTAAATAGCCAACTCTACACCACACTGGTTGGTCCGGACTAAAACAGACTATACTTGGGAGCATAATCAAGAGCAATGTATTTGGCTACCTTGTCCTCTGCTGCTCACAAACCCCACAGCAGCCTTATATAATCTGTTGTATGCATGGCAGTCACCCATCCGTATACTATACAAGCTATCTGATGGGATGGGGGGGGTGCATTCTGAGTGGTTGGTGAGCAGGTCAGTGGTAATCTGATCATTGGGATGTTTTACACTTCAATATATTGTCATACTCTGTATACATGGCTGTGCGGTTGTCTTTGTACTCCTTAGGCACTTTCTGGAAGGGATGAGCCGAGCAATAATTTTTTCTTCTTCGATGGACTGGCTGGAAATGGAATGGTGGATTGTATTGGGAAGGAGTAAGTGGTAAGGCACGTGCCAAAAGAAGGCTTTGGTAACGTAGTTTATTCCAAAAAAACACTTTAATTTATGTTTTGTATCTGCCACAGATTTTGCCAATGTGCTTCAGCATCAGAAAATTAGCAGCCACTTTTCTGAAAATATATCATGACTCGCCTCGATTGTGATATTTCGATTGTTTTTTTTGTCTTTTGGGTTAACTGATGAAGTATTGTGGTTATGTTTAAAAGTGTCCAAAAACATCCACAGGAGTTTAAATAAGTTCGCGACAATTGTTTCGTTTGTTTGCCTTTTTTCACATTATAAAAACTTTTCCATTTTAGGTGAACTTGAATATTACTTCTCAATTTTCAATACTCATATAAATCCTTTCATATACTGTAATGGAATGTCCAAACCACTTATAAACATCACTTATATTAATTGATACTAAAATATAAATAGGAAACTTTTTTCCAAATAGTTTTTAGAATTAATTTTACCATCTAGATTTATGTATGTTGAACTTCTTTTGCACCGCATGTCACCAACCGTGCTAATCGTAGGTGCTATGTCAAATACTTTTTTCAAATGAAATTGACAAGTTAATTACCATTTATGGTATAAGTAAATCATAGTGTCAATATTTTATTTAAGTGTTAATCCTGGGTGTGTTTATATATAAATATGTGGACTATGCCTAACATACTTTTTTAAAGTAATTACATTTACCATGCCTACACAACTAATGGCAGTGAGGAGTCAACTGCACATTTAAACCCAGGGGAAGGGTGTGGAGATGCTAAAATTGGCATTCTTTATTGTGGCTTCGTGCAAAATCACAACCGCATGCACACGCAAGCAAAAAAGTAATAAACAAATAACGTATGGGAGTTTACACTAGCTAAATTAGACCTCTGTGTGCTGCCTTACAAACGTAAATGATCAACCAAAAATGTGCTGGTTTACGTGGGAAAAATTTCGGGAGGCCACATTTTCAGCTGTTGGGTTTTACTCCCGTTGTGTACAGCATTCTTTTTCGGCCTGTTCATAAGGACAGTTACTGCGAGGGCAAATCTTTCAGGCCACTCTTCAGTTGTGCAGCATCCATGGGATCTGGCAGAAGGTTAAAGAATATCCTTCGCGAGGTGTGATGGCATCGACAGCTTTGGCCTTGATTATATCTAGAAGTTGATCGATTCAATATACTAAAGCCTAATAAAACAGTGACCATCCTTGCGTTGTCAATGGAAACTAAATGTCCACTCTTAAGACATGCCACTGTTGCTGACTAAATGTCCTGGGATGTATTCACTGCCATTTAAAGAAAATTTACTATTTAAGTGGTAAGTATACAACATGTGTGTCTTTAGAAATTGTCAGTAATGTAGACCTTTTTTCCCTGTATATAAATAGAAGTGTCATTTGCATTCCCAGTAGTTTGTTTAGATTTTTGCCTATAGTAGCGAATTCTTGATCTCACAGGTATTATGTCTCCAAGGGTCTTTGCATACTATGCAAGCCTTTATTAATTGATGTGTAATTAATACCTCAAAAACAAATATTTTGAAGAAGAAAAAAAGCGTTTCACTAACTGCAGTCTTTGTCAATCCCCGTGGTCAGTATTTGTACATTTTTATCAATAATATCCAAGTAATGCTTTAATGTTACATTGAAAGAATGTGCAAAGTAGTGAACATCAAACAGCCTTGGGGGATTCGTGCTTGTAAACTGTTCTTTAAACAACATCGAAAAATATTCAGTCACCAAAACCAGCAGTAACTGCTTTAAAGAGATATTTTACATGTGTTTTGTCTCTGTGATGCTTAACTTGAAGTTCAATATTTCATATTTGAAAAGTGGGTTCGTTTTGGATAATCTTGGAGTTATATAAGTAATGGACACTTACCAATTTGTGTTTTGTAATGCATTCAGCTGGACAGCAACAATTTATACTGTTTGTACTTACATTAAACTATCTTCTTTAAAGGTCCTGTCTGTACAGTTTTTTTTCATTGCTCGTTCAATATCGAAATAAGTCTGACCACCAGTAATTCAAGTATATATAGGCCCAATGTGACTGTTGGTAGTGTATTCATTATCTTTGCCAGTACAACTTTCTTGACTTGCCATCGAACAAAGACGGTTACTGCATCGCGCACTTTCAGGTGCATTTCTGCGGCCGTCTGGAACGCTCTTCCTTCCGATATTAGGAAGCCCCTGGAGCTTTGCGCTTTTTAAATCATCTGGATTGAAAACTCATCTCTTCAGAATTGCTTTTGTGTTAAGTTTGTCGCCCTTCCCCAGCACCTCCGATTAGGACGGTGACTTCACACGGTGCGTACGAAGTTCAACATCCAACAAGGATAACCCGTCCAATTCCCCTTAAACCACCTCATCAACATCTGCCTCTCACTTGGGCTGCCAAGCTTCTGTCGGCAAATTGAAGTTGGTAACACCATCTGTGCCTCATTTATGTACACCTCGCAGAACTTGTTTTCTCTGGTGCTGCTGTACCTTTTTAATGTCTCCTTTCCATTTCTGCAAGCCCTTTCAAAGTATTAATTTAATATTGCACCCAAGGGTCAATGGATGCTTACGTTACCACCGATACTGGCATAGTGGGTACGTTTTTAGGCTTGCATTAAGTAATGGGCTGACATGCAAGAGTCAAGGTTTGGCATGTCCAAAGCTCCTGGTCATTTAGTAGGGCATTTGTTAAACTATTTAGAATGCAGTTTGCCATAATGAAGATTGTAACGTTCATATGAAAACAATGCATGCTAGAGCACAAACCAAAGCTCACAGCTTTCCTGAAAGATCATTGTTGTAGTAACTATAAATCTTTAAATTGCAGGGACACGAAGATTAACTGTGCGTGTGTGTACCTGTCTCTTGTTTATATCGGTGGTATTCGCAAGATTGTAGTCCCGTCGTTCATGGGACATAACAAAACAAAGGTTATAAAAAAAAAGATAACTGGATTGTTTGCATGTACGTGTCTATCAGTCTGCAAACAAGTCATTTGACTTTTTTTAAAATTAGTTTTACACTCAGGCTGGAAAAATAAAGTCTGGCATAACGCCCTTTAGCATGTTGCGTTTGACAGTTTACCATCACAGCTTTGTTAAAGCTTGTTTAATTTAGACAGCAGAGCTGTCGTCCAAGCACGCATACGTGCACGTGGTTGGTTGCATAATAAACGTCGACCTGTAAATTAAATACATGCACCTGCTAGTGTCCCCAGATAGTATGAGAATCATTGATAATATTTTAAGTGTAAAAATTGTTTATTTCATTCTTCATAGCTATGTTTTTTATTGTGTTCTTAAATATAAGTAATTGTTTTAACGATAGGTCAAGTCTGCTCTGGTTGAATAGTGGGATATATCCGTGCACAATCCTGGCCAGCTGGCTCAAAAAATTCTGGGCTAACCTCCGATGAGCACGGTTGGCTATGTACGGTGGGAAAGAAGGTCAACATGCATTCAACATATATACGATAAACATATAGGTTGTAAGAAATCTATAGAACAATTCGCATGTTTTGTGGAAGTAGGCACGGGTTTTCAACCCTAACGCTTTCAACTGGGGTGTAAAGTGTGAATGGACGATCTCTGGCCGTCTTTCTGTAACATGGGCTCATTACAATTAAGGATTCGCCCTTTAGAAAACTGGCCAAATTGATCAAAGCGTTTCCCATTGACTGCAATTGCATTTGACATCACATCACGACGTCACACGTAATGCGCTCACCCCCGCACTCGGTAAAGTTATTGGGCATGACGTAATCTTGCATTTCGTGTTGGAAAGCGTGTGAGAATGCGTATGCATCATTTTTCTTCCTTTCGCTTTAAATCCCATGAGGACCCCCCCATTGAGTAATATTGCATGGATGTAAATTCGCCCATGCAACAATGCTCATTGCCATTGGTGTAGAATGGTGTGTTCTATTCCAGCATGAACACCCTCTTTGTCTTTGTAAAGGTTGTTATTTAAATCTGATGGTGAGCGGCCGGTGGGGACAGCCTCGTGACGGTTTAGGCCCAATATCTGTACACTGATTGAGATCCTCTTCTATATGCTGCAATATGAATTGATTTTTCTGCACTAGGCATGCGAGGATGCATGATTGTCAACGCAGTACTTAGTGATTTAATACAGCCATTCACTCAATGGTGGTCAATCACCTCCTTACCACTCTTGTATTGTTATGAGCTTGCTTACTGTACCCATGAACTTAACTCGTAGATTCCCGCACCCAGACTGTTTTGTCTCATCCATACTCTGCTCAACTACCACACTGCAGGTCACAACATTTCTTATTCTGGAGTGTCACAGTGGCGATATTTTAAATACCTCGCCTCGTATGCACGTCGTGGGTTCAATCCTGACCCTGACGCCTTTCTATTTGGAGTGTGCACGGTCTCCCCGTGGTCGTGAGGATTTTTCTCCAGGCCCTCCGGGTTTTTTCTCCACATTTAGAAACATGCGTTTAGAGTATTTGACTGCAATAACTTTCCACACGCGGAGCCACTTAGCTGAGCTATAATGTGTCCAGGTTGCATCTTAAAAAGAGCTGTATAGCTCAGTGGGCCTTACCTGGTAAAATAAAATGTTTGGTTTTAGTTAAATTTTGCTTATTCCTTTGCAGTGATCGACTGTTTCTTTGTATTGTTTTTTTCCCCACCCCAGTTCTTGTGAACTTACTCAATTTACGAGACGTATAAACTATTATTTCTTGAAATCTTCATTCTACCGATTGTTACTGGCCATAACTTTGATTTTAAAACATTAAAATCTATGGTGCACGTGACACATCAAATAATGTGTCAATGTATTATTTATAATTTACACAGCATATGCAAATTGTTTATTAGGTTAATGGAACAAGCAAAACTGTACAACGGTGATGATTTAAATGAGACCCGGCAATATGAACAAATAGTTTTTGAATAGAATGGCGACATCGCATCACGACAATTTATCTAATCGCCGGGTGAATCATTCCATACCTACAGATATTAAATATTTTATCATAGGGAAAACTATTTAAATTGTATTGTCAACTGTAGGTATGTATGTTGAACTTCTTTCACACCGTACTTAGCCAACCGTGCAAATCAGGGGTGCGTGGTAAGGACAATAAACACAAAAAAGCAGTTCCAAACAAATTAGTTTTCAATCTCGATTTATTCTTTTGTAGTCTCATCGCCGGCACTGCTTTCAAAATACAATTTTTCCGGCAAGTGTTGACCACATTTTAATTTCTCTTTTGTAGCGTCATTTAATTTCTTTTAATTTCTTTGCTGACATTTCCTGCTGCCTCATCCCTTTCCACTAACTTGGGTTGAGGTTCAGATGATTGCGAGGGATTTCTTTTTAAAGCTCCCTTTCTTGAGGTTACAACAATGTGGGTGTGTGGAGGCAGTCTTGCATGCTAAGTTCCGGATAATAACTCGGACATTGACTGAGTCACACATGCGGTGATGACTATCAGGCAGCAGTGACGAGTGGCACTTGACCAAGAGTAACACACAAGTCAACGAAACACAAGGCACTCAAAAGTTTATTTAAAAAGTATTTACACATTCAGTACAAAAATTAACGCTCGATCGAAAATGTCCGCATGTTTAGTTGCCACTGGCAAAACATTAAATAAGCATTTCACATAGATACTACAAAAAAAAGATGTGCAAGAAATTTTGGTTTTGGAAGAGATGCTACATGCATACTGGGTACAAACAGTGCAATTTTATGACAGGTTATTAGTTGCTGGGAAACATTGAGTTGTTTTTTTCTACAACTAGTCCAAACATATTTATAAGGCTTTATTCTGTAAAGTGTAAACTAAAACTGCATTCTGACTAAGGATATTCACGGTATTCACCACTAGTTGACAATGGAACAATATTTCAACATTACCTGCTTATGTAAATGCCTGTTAACATTTAATCAGGCTTTTTTTTTACTTAAATAACGTGTTGGGTACTTTTTTAACATTTAAAAAAGTGCATTTAGAACAACAATTGTGTTTCTGACATGATCATAAGAAATGGCGGGTGTTACTTAAATACGTCTCATACAAACGGGCATGTTGCAATTAAATGCAACGTCAATAAACTTTAGCACACAACCACATACCTCCCACTTGCTCAAGCATCCCTATTACTCTCTGATCCACTCTTTTTTTTAGTTTTGCAAAAAGATAAATATTTTCAATAAAAACCAAGCTTCCTGAAATAACTCTGGGTACATTTTCAACACTGAACCACAATCCATGAAATTCAAAATGCCAGCTTGCACAGTTACTCACAAATGAAGTGCCGATGAAACTTTGGATTCAAAGCCAACCTATGGTGTTTTTCTTTCAAATGTTGCTGAGATACATCGACCAGCAGATTTTACTGGACAGTGGATATAATTATTTAATTTCAGCAATTAAATTGTCTTTGCGAGTTGATTTTGTTTGTATTTAAAATCCTACAAGTGTAATATTACCAACTTTTGTTTGTAATCTTGTAAAATATATATTTTCAAAATCCTGCAACCTCTTCCTCCTCGCCAACTGATTATTACACAGATTGGTGAGCTAAAAGAGCATTGCCAACTAGTGGTGATGATAAGTGCTCAATGTTGGTATGCTGCACTTGTGTAACCAGCAACATTGGCAATGTGGATTTTGGACCCAGGGATAACACATCGATGGGGAAGAAAAGTCGCTCAACGCGAACCTGCCGACAATCGTGCAACCTGAACAGAGCTCCACCAACGTTCCCAATGGTTGACATTTAGTGACTCCTGCTGTCGCCATTTGTTACCAACACTGACTAAATAATTTTAATCTGTACATGCGCACACAGTATATACAGGCAGCTACTTTAAAAATGCAATTACAAAAAAAGTTTTACAATGTCCTGAGACATTTCATTACTGATCAAAAAAACAAACGACATCAAATTGAAGAAAATCCTAATTTCAAAAATAAT